CCCTGGGTAGATTCTTTTTTTTTTTTTTTTTAAAGAGAACATTCGCCCTAGCCGGTTTGGTTCGGTGGATAGAGCGTCAGCCTGCGGACTGAAGGGTCCCAGGTTCGACTCCGGTCAAGGGCATGTACCTTGGTTGCGGGCACATCCTCAGTAGGGGGTGCAGGAGGCAGCTGATCAATGTTTCTCTCTCATCGATGTTTCTAACTTTCTATCTCTCTCCCTTCCTCTCTGTAAAAAATCAATAAAATATTGCCCTGACCGGTTTGGCTCAGTGGATAGAGCGTCAGCCTGCGGACTCAAGGGTCCCAGGTTCGATTCCGGTCAAGGGCACGTGCCTTGGTTGCGGGCACGTCCCCAGTGGGGGATGTGCAGGAGGCAGCTGATCGATGTTTCTTTCTCATTGATGTTCTAACTCTCTATCCCTCTCCCTTCCTCTCTGTAAAAAAATCAATAAAATATATTTTTTTAAAAAAATCAATAAAATATTTAAAAAAAAAGAGAACATTCCTCTACCATTACAAACTCCTATGAGTAGACTGAATTTACATTTGAATATTCCATATTACATATATGAGATATTTGGAGCTGAGATATTTGAACATTTTCTTCTATTCCTCCCCAGACTCTGTTCCAGCCTCAGACAGGCGCTTACCAGGCCCTGGCCAAAGAGTGTGTGGCCCAAGGTTGCTGTGTAGACCTCTTCCTCTTCCCTAACCAGTATGTTGATGTGGCGACGCTCTCTGTTGTACCCCAGCTCACTGGTGGCTCTGTCTACAAATATACTTGCTTTCAGGTATGGCATGGGACTCTGGGTGGCACGTGGAACAGGACTGGGAGTGTCTGCCTACATGTCCTTAGCTACTGACTCATTAATAGGAATAGTATTAGAGGAGAAGACTGCATAGTGTGAAGAAGAGAGCCATGAGCCCTAGCTGGTGTGGCTCAGTGGATAGAGCGTTGGCCTGCGGACTGAAGGGTCCCAGGTTCGATTCCGGTCAAGGGCACATGCCCAGGTTGCGGGCTCGATCCCCAGTAGGGGGTGCAGGAGGCAGCCAATCAATGATTCTCTCTCATCATTGATGTTCCTGTCTCTCTCTTTCCCTCTCCTTTCCTCTCTGAAATCAATAAAAATATATTTTTTAAAAAAAGAAGAAGAAGAGAGCCATAAGTGTAGTGCTTGGGAGTGTGGGGCTTAGAGTCAGTCCTGGATTGATATTCTGGCCCTACCACTTACTAGCTATGACCTCGGGGAAATTACTTGTCTCTCTGTTTCTTCATATGTAAGGTAGGATTTTAATATTTATTAATTAGGATTTGTCATCAGGATTAAGTAATTATATATAAAGCTTTTGATGTGGTACCTGGCATATAATGTGCTTAAAAGGTGTCATTATCATCATCACCTCCATATCATCCTCTTCTCTGTTATTGTTATTTTGGGTCAGCAGCTTGCAGAGTGGAGGGGATGCAGGGAGATTGTTTGCAGGATGTTATGTGATGTGACTTTGGGCCTGTGGGGCTGCAGGTGGAGAATGACCAGGAGCGGTTCATGAGTGATCTGCGTCGGGATGTAGAGAAGGTCGTTGGCTTTGATGCTGTGATGCGAGTCCGGACGAGCACTGGTCAGTCCTGGTTGAGAAGAGCAGGTGGGGGGGCTAAATCTAGGAGGGAGGCAAGTGGCACCTGTCATACCTTTAGCCCTGACCCTGTCCATGTGGCCTCAGGTATCCGTGCTGTAGATTTCTTTGGGGCTTTCTACATGAGCAACACAACAGATGTGGAGCTGGCTGGACTGGATGGGGAAAAGACGGTGACTGTGGAATTCAAGCATGATGATCGGCTCAATGAAGAGAGTGGAGCCCTCCTGCAGGTGGCAGGCAGCAGGCGGGAGGCAGGGGCTGGGGAGGAAGTCTCAGGTGTCCTTTCACTGGATATAAAAAGGCTGCAGGGAAGAGGGTGAGGGTTGGGTAGAGAGGACTAGAAGAGGCTGGGGAAGGGATGGCTCATGTCTTTCCTCTAGTTTAATAATATAGCAGAGGGGCAGTTTTTCAGAGGGATTGGTGAGGGAAGGGTGTAAGCTCCCTTTTTCTTTCTTCCCCTAGTGTGCCCTGCTCTACACCAGCTGTGCAGGGCAGCGACGACTTCGCATACACAACCTGGCCCTGAACTGCTGCACCCAGCTAGCTGATCTGTATCGAAACTGTGAGACTGACACGCTCATTAACTACATGGCCAAGTTTGGTGAGGATAGCGACAGGGCAGGGTGGGATTTGGGCTGAAAAAGGTGATGGTTAACCCAGGTAGATGTGGGAAGGCACATGTGATGGAGTGGCTGACTAGTGACTGTGCTATTTCTATTTCCCATCCAGCATACCGGGGGGTCCTAAACAGCCCTGTGAAGACTGTTCGTGACACTCTTATCACCCAGTGTGCTCAGATCCTGGCCTGTTACAGAAAGAACTGTGCCAGCCCCTCCTCTGCAGGACAGGTGGGCAAGCATGTTGGTGGAGGAGTTATTGGGACAAATGTTTGCATTTGGGAGGGATTTCTCATGATTATTGACTTTATCTTGATAACCGCCTTCAGCTGATCCTCCCTGAGTGCATGAAGCTACTCCCAGTTTACCTGAACTGTGTGTTGAAGAGTGATGTCCTACAGCCTGGAGCTGAAGTCACTACTGATGACCGTGCCTATGTCCGACAGCTGGTTACCTCCATGGACGTGGCTGAGACCAATGTCTTCTTCTATCCTCGGCTCCTACCTTTGGTGCGACTGAGGGCTGGAGAGTGAGACACTGCACTGAGAAAGGGGCATCATAGAAGGAGGCTGGGAAAGATTAATATCTGTGTCTGACATTAATTTATTTGTTTTTACCTATGTTATGTGATTTAATTTTCACAGAATTACTGAGGGACTTAGCTTTCTGAAATTTTTTTTTGGGGGGGGCAGTAAACGTGTCTCACCTTCTCAGTAACATTTCCCCCCTTTCCTTTTGTCTAGACAAAGTCTCCCATTGAGAGTACCACTGAACCACCAGCAATCCGAGCATCTGAAGAGCGTCTAAGCAATGGGGATATATATTTGCTGGAGAATGGGCTCAACCTTTTCATCTGGGTGGGAGCAGGTGTCCAACAGGGTGTTGTCCAGAGCCTCTTCAGCGTCTCCTCCTTCAGTCAGATCACCAGTGGCTTGGTAAGGGCAGGGCATCAAGGACAATATGGGTGTGGAAATGTACTTTGTGGTAGGAACCAATAAAGTTTTTGTACTAGTCCCGTTAAATAGCAGGGAACACTTGGAGGGCAGGGAAGGTGCTGTCATTCTTCCCAGGCTTCCTCGTTTCAGATGATGCATAAATCTGTGCTGCCCCATATTGACTGGACTCAGAGTACCTTACCATAAGGATTAATGAATTTTGTGTTCCAGGGTATTCTGCCAGTTCTGGATAATCCGCTGTCCAAGAAGGTTCGAGGCCTCATTGATAGCTTAAGGGCACAGAGATCGCGGTACATGAAGGTAACACTGATCTGAACCTTGGATTTTTTACCTGGTCAAGTTCTCACCTTGAAGGGGGGTAGGGAGCGAATGACTAGATAATGGGGTTTCAGGGCATGTTTAATTCTCATTGGCTCTGCCTCATGACGCTGTGTTCTGGCCATAGCTTATCGTGGTGAAGCAGGAGGACAAGCTGGAGATGCTGTTCAAGCACTTCCTGGTGGAAGACAAGAGCCTGAGTGGAGGAGCATCCTATGTGGACTTTCTCTGTCATATGCACAAGGAGATTCGGCAGCTACTGAGCTAGAGCAAGTGGGTAAAGGCATAAGGTCCCAGGCCAGCTTCCAGAAAGTACCCCAAGGCAGCAGGGAAATCAGGACAGTTCCATATCTTATAAGTCATGTAAGCTGACCTCAGTCTCTTTGGGGGGAGGGAGAGGTATAAGGAGACAACTTCTTTCTGGGCTCAAGTATTCCCCCACTCTGTCATGTCCTGCTGATAGAAGGTGCCCCTACCCCTCACTTTGCCCTTCTTTTCCTGCTAATCCGGTTGTAATGAATGTAGTTTCTCAGTTCACTGTATATGATTCGGTTGGGGGATTTGGAGGTACCCAGACCCTGGTGATACCATGTCCCTTTGGACCAACCTCCAAGAAGAGGGAACAGGCAGGAAGGAGTGGGGATCCCAGGGTTACTATGGGGAGGGGGGCGCTAATTCAGCTCAGTGCCATCAACAACTTCCTATATTAGGGATAAAACATACAGATGCACAAGAGCTAGGGTTTAGACCTTAGGTGGTGGAGAGAAAAGTGGTTGGTCCTTCATGGGCCTGGAAGTCAGCAGCCAAGTCAAAATTACTGAGGATGGTTGATTAGCTTTCTCTGCTTCCATGCTTTTGTTCTCTCCTGCAATGATTGGTGATCACTCCGTGGACAGAGGCACGCAGACAGAGGTGAATGAGCCTGGGAACTGAGTTGCAAAGTATATTAACACCTGGGGGAGGTGCCAGCCTACTTTCCAGCTGGAGAGGCCCCAGTACTGGATGGTTCTGTAGGAAGCCTGGTCATCAACTTGCAATACCTCACAGAGCCAGCCCACATCCCACTCTGAGCTCCCACTGGAAACACTGCTTCTCCAAGCTGGGGATTGTTGGGGAGCGAGGCAGAGGTGGCCAGAGCTCTGTACTCTCCTCCCGGGACACCACTCGGGCTCTGGTATTGATAAAGCGGCTGACAGTTATCTTCCAACCCGAACTGGCTGGAGCAGGACAAGGGCTAGGCTTGATGCTGGCCAGGCTTCCCTACTCCCAGCCTGGGATGCCCCTGCTCTGGACTTCTCATTTCTCTTCATTGGTTTATTTTTCAATGCATCTTTAATTTGTAAAGAAATAAAGTAAATTAAGATGTAACCAGCAGCCTCATTTTTACCGGCGACGTATCACTTGCCCTCCAGTCCTTCCTGCTAAGTGGACGGCTGGGAGGAGCTGCGCATGCGCCACGGGCCCCCGCCGCGTAGGGCCCAGTTCCCGGTACGACTCGCCGCGGGGCGGGGTCCGGTGCTGTGTGAGGGGGGCTGGCTGCCAGAGTGGACATGGCGGCCGGCCGCACCCGGGCTGTGCTTGCCGCCCTGGCTGTGCTTACTGTCGGTGCGGCCAGCGGCCCGGGGCCCGGGACAGAAAGGGAGCCCGGTGGGGAGGCGGAGTGGGCGGAGCCGTGGGATGGAGCGGTTTTCCGGACGCCCTCGGCGCTGGGCGCAGTGGGGGTGGCGCGCCGTCCGGAGACCCGGTGGCCCGGGAGAAAGGACGCAGGGGACCTGCCGGTGCTGCTGTGGTGGAGCCCGGGGCTGTTCCCCCACTTCCCCGGCGACTCGGAGCGCATCGAGTGCGCGCGCGGCGCGTGCGTGGCGTCCCGGGACCGCCGGGTGCGGGGGGACTCGCGCACGCGCGCGCTGCTCTTCTACGGCACCGACTTCCGCGCGTCGGAGGCGCCGCTGCCCCGTCTGGCGCACCAGAGCTGGGCGCTGCTGCACGAGGAGTCGCCCCTCAACAACTTCCTGCTGAGCCACGGTCCGGGCATCCGCCTCTTTAACCTGACCGCCACCTTCAGCCGCCACTCGGACTACCCGCTGCCGCTGCAGTGGCTGCCCGGGGCCGCCTACCTGCGCCGCGCGGCGCCTCCGCTCCCGGAGCGTGCGGAGTGGCGCCGCCGCGGCTACGCGCCGCTGCTGTATCTGCAGTCGCACTGTGACGTGCCCGCGGACCGGGACCGCTACGTGCGCGAGCTCATGCGCTACATCCCGGTGGGTGCGGGTGGGGGCGGGCGGGGGCGGGGCCGGGGCGGGGGAGGCGCCGGGCCAGGCCAGAACCCCTGTCCAGGCCGACCTGCCGACCTGCCGTACCCTCTTGACCTGTACTCTGCCCGCGCAGGTGGACTCGTACGGGAAATGCCTGCAGAATCGGGAGCTGCCCACTCCACGGTTACAGGACACAGCCACGGCCACCACCGAGGACCCAGAGCTGCTGGCCTTCTTGTCCCGCTATAAGTTCCATCTGGCTCTCGAGAATGCTATCTGCGACGACTACATGACAGAAAAGCTGTGGCGCCCCATGCACCTCGGTGCGGTGCCTGTGTATCGCGGCTCCCCCTCGGTGAGGGACTGGATGCCCAACAATCACTCCATCATCCTCATCGATGACTTTGAGTCACCGCAGAAGCTGGCAGAGTTTATTGACTTCCTGGACAAGAACGATGAAGAATATATGAAATACCTGGCATACAAACAACCCGGGGGCATCACCAACCAGTTCCTCCTGGACAGTCTGAAGCATCGGGAGTGGGGAGTGAATGACCCTTTATTGCCCAACTATCTCAATGGCTTCGAGTGTTTCGTTTGTGATCATGAGCTGGCGAGGCTGGAGGCCGAGAAAGCCCACGAAGCCGCCCCCGGAGACACCCCTGTCCCTGAACCTCACATTGCCCAGCCCACACACATGGACTGCCCAGTGCCAGCACCGGGCTTTGGCAGTGTGGACGAGATTCCTGAGAGTGACAGGTAAGGTATCTGGGTCCCCTCCAGCCATCAAGTCGGATTATTTACTTACTTGCTTACTGTGGACAATGAATTAGCACGAGGTGCTGAGGGGCTCACTCTGCATTTAAGGTGTCAAGGGTCTAGCTGGGGATATAAGACAAACAGAAAGCTCAGTAAAGATGTAAACTATAATCCAAGGCAACAACATATGAAAATCAGCTGATGGGGACAGCGTTTGCAATAGTAACTCAAAAAAGGTTTCAACCCGAGCAGAGGACCTGTTCAGAGAAGTGATGAGGGAGAGACAGAGTTGGACAGATAAAGGGGGGCCAGGATACACGTAGCCTGAATACCAGGCTCAGAAATTGGACGGTCCTGAAAATCAGTTCAGCTATTTATGGAGCACCTTTTGTATCTATGGTGTGGGCGGGGATGAGGAATACAAAGATGAGTATTTTGAGGGAAGTTTGTAATAGCCCGAGTTCACACCTGTTAACCAGGTGTAATTATTAATAACACCTCCTTGCACTCTTAAAGGTATCCTGATTTGGATGATTCACCCTAGACAGAATTTTATATTCACCCTAGACAGAATAGAGGGAATTCTTTTTTTTTTCTTCTTTTTTTTAGAGGGAATTCTTTAAAAAGATAATAATTGTCAATGGTGGGCAGTGTGGATTAGAAGGGAAGTAAGGAGGCTACTGCGGCAGATGGTAGAATGTGTTAGCATTGGGGAACAAGGTCAGCATGGGAGGTGGAGTGGGAAAATATTGAATCCTCTTGCAGCAAACCACGCCTGTTGGGAGAGAAGCAGTAAAAGATGATTGAACTTGAGAAAGAGAGGTTGCTGGATTGGCCTGCAGAGACCGACTTTGACAGTGGATGGCAGCAGAGGGTTGTTTATATGTGCCACTGGCACAGTTTGGTCCTGGAAATGATGTCCTCCATCAAGTAATTTGAATCTAGTTTATGCTGAACATGATATGATTTACCAGAGGAAAAGTTTAAAACAATGTAAACACTTAATAAATTCAGGATATCTCTTAATCTGGGTCCTGAATGCTGCTGCACCTTCATTTTGATTATTGAGATAAAGGTGCAACGTGAAAGGTAACCATCTAAATAAATAACAACTGCTTTCCTAATCTGGCCCCTGCCTTGCTTGCCTTTTTGAACTCCCTCCACGTTGGGAACCAGGAGCAGGAAAGTTAGGAAGTTTGGCTCATTGATTGGGCTGTGTGATATAATCATGTTTGTGGCTTACCACCTGTCACCTGAACTAGTACTGGATTTACTTCACATTCCTTCCCTTTGGAGCAGAGCCCTGTGCTAGACAGAGACCACTGTATCTGCTTAAGGTTTTGTTGACTCCATAGCTGTGCTGAGGTTCCATAATCCAACCCTCATTTTGATATTTCAGCTGGAAGGAGATGTGGCTGCAAGACTATTGGCAAGGTCTGGACCAGGGGGAAGCTCTCACTGCCATGATCCACAACAATGAGACACAAGAGAGGAAATTTTGGGATTACCTACATGAGATCTTCCTGAAAAGGAACCAAAATCTCTAATTACCCTGCGAGAGCTTTGAACTTGGTAGGTCTAAGGAGATGGAAGTCATTCTACCACAGGACATGCTGCACAAACCCTTAATGAACATTGTCTTATCCTGAATTTAAGGGATTCTAGTTGTACCTACTGATATTTTATCCTAATGATGTATAGCCAGGGTCTCAGACTGTGGTAATAGGGCTTCCCCTCAAGGAGAGATGAAGGCATCCAGTTCTTAGTTTAGTGGAAAACAGAAGCCTGAAACACCCATTTGATTCAAGGTGCAGATCCAACAGAATTTTTAAAGAACTGCTTATTTCTCTAGCCATTTCATCCTCTCAATTATGATTGGAACAACACCTTAGTACTTGGCTACAAATGAGGTAAGATTTCTCATGTGCTATTCCTCAAACCCCTTATTATTTAGTACCTTTTCTAACCTCTTTTCCAGATATTCTGCTTTATGAACTGTTATGTTGGTGGTGAAGCAAAACTCCTGGTGGGTTGTATTCTAGTTCTCTGGAGTTGTATTTTTTTTTATCATTTACCTTGAATTTCATGTTAGTCTTTTTATTTTAAAATTTTTTTCCTTTCCTAGTTTTCCACAATTTCTGATGAAGATATAGCAGCCTTGCCACCATTCCCACATTCATTCTTCTCTGCATTAAATTGGCTATAGATTTAACAGTTTTAACTATAAATAAGTAAATAAGTAAATAAATCCTATATAATAAAGGGGTAATATGCAAATTGGCCCAATGACAGAACGACCGGTTGCTATGATGCACACTGGCCACCAGGGGGCAGACGCTCAATGCATGAGCTATCCACAGGGGGAGTGCTGCTCAGCCACAAACTGGGCTGATGCAGTGCTAAGGATGTCAGACTACGGTTTTGGGGAGCGAGCCTAAGACATCAGTTGGACATCCCTCGAGGGCTCCCAGACTGTGAATCACAGTCCAGGCTGAGGGGACCCCCTCCCTCCCCAGTGCACAAATGTCATGCACTAGGCCTCTAGTATATATAAAATTTTGAAATGTTAAAATAGGCCAATGTGAATCAAAGTGAAGAATTTTATATGTATTTGTTCTTTTCTGTCTAATAAAGTCTTTCCTCTATTTTATTTTTATATATTACAAAAGTCCCATTTCCCCCCAGTCATGAAAATTGTGGAAAAAACAGTCCAGCAGTATAGCTTATATTCTGTAGCACTTTTCATTTTAAGTGGGATGAATATTCTAGCTTCACTCATTCTATTGCTGATATTCTTTTATACAACTTTATAGTATTTCTGAGACCACATTTTGTTGGAGCCCACCCAAGTCCAAGGAGATGAGAGGTGAGGCAAGAGATGTAAGTCACCACAAGTGGCTGGCTAAATAAAAAGCTGTTAGTCAAGCCCTAACCGGTTTGGCTCAGTGGATGGAGCGTCGACCTGCCGACTGAGGGGTCCCAGGTTCGATTCTGGTTGTGGGCACGTCCCCAGTTGGGGGTGTGCAGGAGGCAGCTGATCGATGTTTCTAACTCTCTATCCCTCTCCCTTCCTTTCTGTAAAAAATCAATAAAAAAAAACCCATATATATATATTTTAAAAAGCTGTTAGTCAAGCTCTAGCTAGTTTGGCTCAGTGGATAGAGCATCAGCCCACAGACTGAAGGGTCCCAGGTTCGATTCTGGTCAAGGGCAGGTACTTTGGTTGTAGGCTTGATCCCTGGCCCAGGTCGGGCATGTGCAGGAGGCAACCAATCCATGTTTCTCTCTCACATCGATGTTTCTCTCTGACTCTGTCTCTCCCCCTCCCTTCTACTCTCTCTAAAAATCAGTGGAAAAATATCCTTGCGAGAGGATTAACAAAACAAAATAACAACAACAAAAAAGCTGTGAGTCCAGTTGGGGATACAGCCAAACCTTTCTATTGCTATGATTTGAATAGATAGCTTAATGGGCAGAGAGGTCATTAGCTTTTTCTGGAGCAGAGAAACAGGGAAGAATATCTTGGCCCTTAGAGCTACCCTGGTTGTAAAGTTGTATTAATGAATTATCATCAGAGAAGTTCCATAGCTTATCAATATATCTGGTGGTAAATTAGTATGAATGTATGTATAAATTTTTTTACTACCAGAGTTAATAATACAAATATATGTAGATGCCTCAACAACGAAGGTCCTACACTTAATATTGTAACATCTAAGGATGTGGCTAAGGAAAGCTATTATTTAGGCTGGATTTCACTGTCAGAGTGCTTCTTTTTCATTCTATTCTTTAATAAAAAAAAATACCCTTCGTAATAGCTTGGAAAGTTTGCTTAACCTTTTTGCTCTTTTGCAGAAAAGAAAAAGAGGTAAAGCTAGATCTTCAAGTATACTCATGTCAGCCCTGGCTGGGTAGCTCAGTTGATTAGAGCATCGTCCCAATACACCAAGGTGTGGGTTCAATCCCTGGTCAGGGCACATATAAGAATCAGTCAGTGAATGCATAAATAAATGGAACAACAAATCAATGTTTCTCTCTTTCCTTCCTCTCTCTCCCTCTCCCTTTCTCTCCAAAATCAATAAATTGTAAAGAAATTTTTAAAGATACTTATGTTAAAATTTGATACAGTAGGGATCCACAACTGAAGTCAAATTCAGGACTGATTTCTAAGCTTGCAATTTGTTCAAATACAAATGCTGACTTATAGGGGCAGGTTGGAGGGGGTAAAAAGAAACAAAATAAAAACAACTCTAATGAGACCAAAAAAAGGTGGAATAACAAATTTCTCTCTCATTAATACATACGTTTAAAAAAAGTTTAATCTTCTAGAATTATCCAGTATATTTTATTATATATGGCCAATAAAAAAGTATCTTTTGATGCCCAGCATAACTGATGACATTAAAGAAATTACAGTATATATTATTGTTTTTCCACAATGGGCCACTATTCAGAAAAGTGATCTAGGGTTTTTCCCTAGACAACTGTATATGAAACCTATAACCTACTTAGTACATATTTATTGTTCATATCCAAGCTCCATAGAATTGGCTTCACCCAATTAGATGTCTCTTTAAAAATAAATCATTGGCTTTCATGCTTATGTGAATCCTCTGTGCACACATAAAATTTTGATTTTCCTGCTGTTAAATAATCATTGTTATTTTCCTAATCTCTCCCCATAGTTTAGAAATTGAGTGCTATAAAACGACTATGTAACCATATCTTTCTGCAGCCCATAATTGAATCAATGGCTTTTTGCTAGGCACATGGTCAGACAATACTGAGAGCCTTGTTCAATAAAAGCAATGCACGCTGTAGCGTGGCTCCAAGGACCACATCAGACCACTAGGTAGAAATTAACTGCCTTTCTTGTCTGGTACTTCATTAAAATTCAAAAATAATAATTGTTCCAACTAGTTGGCACTTACTGTACATGAAAAACAAAACGAAATACTAGTACCCAAGTACAAACTAAAATTAGGACTTAAATTTCATTATGGGCAGTAAAAAGAGTAAGTGATCGTAGTTACAGGAGATGTAGAATCATCCTTACCTTTCCTGTCTATTCACAACAGTTCACATTGGCACTCCTTTAGCACTTTTATGTACAAAGTGGGCTAGTTGTGTATGAATTATTGTGGCTGGAGACTCATGCCTGCTTTGTGGTCAGTACTTCCAGACTTTTTTCCTTTATTCCTATTGCCATAAAAAACATTCACAAAAGAGCAGAGTAAACCAGGTGCTACATTTCCATAAGGGAAAGCAGAACCAGAAATAGCCACACGGCACTTATCAACTAAAGGCTTCACTTTCCCTATGGAGAAAGCAAGCAGTGTGAATTTTCTCTGGTTTGGGGCACAGCCTGCTCTATATACAGCAGCAGGCTAGGGTTATTAGCGGTAGACGTTTCTAATAGGAATCAGTTTTATTTATGCTGCTGGAGGGGGTGAAGCATGGGGCTGATACTTTTATTACTACAAGTATTGCTATTTTCTGTTACCTCAGGTTTCCTTTTGTATAATAAATGGCTTATTTTTAAACAGTGTCTTCTGCTTGGTTATATTTCTGTGGTGAGCAAGATAAAGTTGGATATTTCAAACATTTATTCATTTAACAGGTATTTATTGACACTAGGCACTGAGGATTCAGCAATGAACAAAGTAGACAAGGACCCTTCTCTCATGGTGCTTACATTTCAAATGGGTGTTGGTAGTAAGGGGGTAAACAAGCAATAAATGAACAAAATAGTTCAGACTGTGATAGGAGCTATGAAGAAAATAAAACAGGTTGTGGTGATGGGGTGTGAGAAGTCAAGGAAGGCCTCTCTGACCTGAACTGAGACTCACCAGGAAAAAGAACCATTCATGCAGAGATAAATGGAAAGATTACAAACATCTGTGATAAACTATTGTAGCCACTAAATTTACACAGCCAAATTTACACACACTTTGAATAATTATAAAGGCAATGTTTATTAAAATACATTTTGAAAGATCAGACGGAGGCCTAAAACCAGGACTACAGGCTTTATTAGAGGAGAAGCACCTGCCAGGCTGTCTTGCAAAGGGAGGACAGCAGCACGTGCAGGGGTGGGCACGCCTTTTGAGGGGCGGATGGGAAGGGGTGGGGGGCTTAGTGTACTCGGCGCACACTGATTGGTGGCTTACTGCATTGTCCATATAGGACAAGGGCTTAGGGTATTTGGCAGGTGTGGATTGGTGGTCCAATGTATCCTCCATATAAGGTACCTGGTTAGTCACTCAGGTATTTCTGGGCTGCAGGTTACGTCATACTCCGCCCACCAGTTGGGGGAAGGGAGGATCTATCACATTTCATTTTCAAAATTGAGCTATCAACTATTAAAATGTGTATATATTTTGGGGACACCCTGTAGTCACCTTGTGAACTACAAGATTGTTCAAATTATGCTTCCATTACCAGAAACATTTTGGGGGGCTAATTCGTAAATTTCTTGAGAATCCATGGCACATCTTTGGAATGTTTTGTAAACAATTACGTCCCTTAGAACCAAGTTTGATGAAGCTAGACATCACAACCGAAGGGCCGAGTCTATAAACAGGACTGATACACGGTGGTTCAGACTGGAGGGTCCAGGTTCCATTCCAGTCAAGGGCACAGGCCCGGGTTGCGGCTCCATCCCCAATGGGGGGCGTGCGGGAGGCAGCCAATCAATGATTCTCATCATTGATGTTCCTATCCCTCTCCCTTCCTGTCTGAAATCAATACATATTTTTTAAAAAAACAGGAATGATACTACCAAGTATCTTCACAAGGTCGGCAAGAGGATTACAGAAGGTCGTGAATGCCAA